AAAATCATAAAAACACGCAAAAAATATTGTGCGTGCGTGTTTTGCACGCACAGATTCTGACCTACTTAATTTTAAAAAGTGTCTTGAAACAGGAATTAAAACAAATCTATTAGGCTGCTCATACACGACAATATAAATCGAAGCTTGGAAATTCTCATTGTTAATAATAGAACGTATCCTACCACCATATGGCGCCTTGAATCGCGTCGTTGTAACATGGGCTATGATTGGGTAACACATTGTTTGATCTTTATCGTCTGCAACTTACAAGTGAGGTGGCGTCCATGTTTGTCTCAACTAGTTGATCTGATGCTGATACATGCACTAAGAAAGACACAGCTCTCATGATCAGTGCGGGCAGGATAATCGGCAATATTTCAGCCATATCGTGATTTTAACAAATTACAAATTCATAATCATAATAAGTGCAATTAAATTATATAAAAAAATGTCGACGAAGGACAGTAAAATAAAAAGATTATCACAGATAAAGAATTAAAACTAGCATGTACCTTTAAAATTATATTTTATAAACAATACAATATATAAGAACGGGCCAGACATCACCAGCAACTGAGGGTAGGTCCCCATACTAGGGACCATCGGGACTTACAGTGCCTTTGCTACCTTCGTTTGATTTACACGATCCCTTCAGCTGGCGATTGTAGGAAATTTAGACATAATTTAAAATAACACAAATACCACATTTATAAATTATGGTAAGTACAAATCTACCTTGAATGTTTTGGGAGTTACGTACCCCCACAGGAGGACTATAATTTTACAATACTACAACCACCTGTGAGGATACAACCATTAACACCTTTACAAGAGGGTGTAGGTCATATCAGCGAAATACTCTTGTTAGGCATAGTGTCTTAGCGGACCACAAATTTGCAATCATTTCAGAAACAATATCAAAAACATTGCAACATCACGTCCAAAATAGTGACGTTGTGCACAGTCTATAGCATGGCCAGGGAAGAAATGCCGGCGAGAAAGTTTTCCTTTATTATGAAACTACAAGGAATTAATAACGTTCCTGCTCTTCAGCGTGGCAAACACTACACACATCATGATCGTTCATTATATTCAAACACTGGAACGTAAGTTAAAGTTTGTAAATATAATAACTTGTTATGATAATGATGTTATTATAATGAAAATTTCACACGCAAAAGATTTGGACTACATATCTATAATTTTATTTCTGCACGCACAAGCACAAAACCTACCGCGAACACTGATAAAATTTGTCACAAAGAAGGAATAGTTTTTTAATATTTAAGCTCTTTTTATACTGCTATTTCGACACCAGTGCGCATGTGCAATTACACCACTTGGATGCTAATTGACGGCATTTCCCCCACGGGATATATTATTGACATTTGTGTGAAATATTACACCACTATACGATAATGTGGGGGCAGTAGAATAATGCTTAGTGTTTGAACATATATAATTTTGATAGTGACAAATACTCCCATTCCAACTGTAAAGAAGCCTGAGTGAGATGAGAGATTCAGACCTGAAACTGGGTTAATCTAGACTTGCTTCATGAAGGGCTTTAGCATTGCAGGAAGGGTAAAAGGGGAAATAATGTGGTTCAGGGACTGTGAGTCACACTAGTGGACCAGCTGTTTTCCATTAATTCGGGGTGGTGGGGTAACATGGTGGTTGCAGCGTTCGCTCATCGCGCCTAAGACCCGGGTTCGAATCCCGACATGTTTGAAGCCCATTTCCGTTTTCCCTTGTCGTGATGCTGTTAGAAAATTGCTAAATGCGGCGTAAAACCATACTCACTCACGCCTTTCATTCAGATTTCTCTTAATACGTACGCCATAAAGAGTCATTGTTTCTAAAGATCTATAAGGTACATACTAGACAATTGGGGGAGTTACACCCATGACGATCTCACACTTTAGGCTGATATTTATTAAAACCAAATTTTGGAATTGAGAAATTAAGGTTAATCTAGCGACTGGTATGTTTTTCATTCATGTTGTAGAGGGCAATAGCTGTATAGCAATGATTTAGTGCGAAGCAACTCCAGAAAGTACCCAGTCTCGAGCTCGAATACCTACCGGAACAGGTTTCTCGGGTCATGACCCTTGAAGATCCTGGTTAGAATTGATCTTCAGTAACCCATGCTTGTCGTAAGAGGCGACTAGCGGGATCGTGTGGTCAAGTTCGCTGGCTTGGTTGACACATGTCATCGTATCCCAGTTGCGTAGATCGATGCTCATGGTCCATAGTCTGGTCCAGACTCGATTATTTACAGACAGCCGCCATATAGCTGGAACAGTGCTGAGTGCGGCGTAAAACTAAACTTACTCACTCCTCGAGATATTGTGGGAAAATGTGTGACGACAGTTTCCGGAGTGGACAACTGATCAGTGAAGTATGGAATTCTAGAAGGGACATTGTCGCATTGTCGTATTGTCACGTTGTCGCCTTCACAAACACAAGCCAAAAGTGGCAAAATCAACCAAACTGAGACAGTGCGACAATGAGACAACGCGACATTTTGGCCATTTGAATAATATTTTTATCCATCCAAATGCGACATAGCTACATTTAGACAGTTTTAAAGGTCAAAATATGTCGCGTTGTCGCATTGTCGCCCCATCTAAGACGTGTAAAGAAAGCGTTAAAATGCGCGACAACGCGATAATGCGACATAATTAATTTGTCGCACTTCGGTTATTTTGGCCACTTTTTGCTTGTTTTTTGTTTTGTTTGTTTGTTTGTTTGTTAGTTTGGGGGGGTGGGGGTGGGTTGTTGTTGTTTTTTGTGAGGGCGGCAACGTGACAATGCGACAACGCGACAATGTCCGTTCTGGTATTCTATAGTGAAGACACTAAACTACTGGCGGAAATAGAAAAAATGTTTTGAGGCTGTTACTCTCTATCCCTAAACTTTACACAACTGCAAATGGCATATGTCGAAATAACCCACATCGGCCAAACTGGGCGTTCAGTGGGATGCGTAATAGGATATCCAGAAAAGCATGTAAAATCGGGCAAAACTTACGAATAGATGCTGAAAACCATAGAGTAGACTATTATAGAATTGCAATTAGGTCGCTGAGCCAGGTATGACGACGGACCGTCATAAGGTTTATGTTGAGATATGTAAAAGAGTGTATGATAACCATAAAAAACTTAAATCAGCTATCGTATTAAATGTCTCAAAATATATAGGTGGCATGACCACCCAAAGGTCGACAGGACTGGATATTATTTGTAAATTGTTACTTCCCCAGTTTAATTCCCCTAAAGGATTATCTTATCTTAGCTGATATCTCTAGCCCGATCCCAACCATCGTCTGCGACACCCGTCCTGGTTTTGCTTTTGAGACGACCCCTCCTACCTCCTTTTTGATAATGCGTGAGACTATGGTAGCTACACCCTTAACAGTTTCAGTATTAAAGTTATTATTTTTCACCTCAGCTATCTTTTATAATGGAGCTAAGGCTAATATCAAAATGGGCATTAAAAAGTGTCCTTTGTAATACAATATCCTCGCATACTAATTGCATAAAACCATGATCTGTTCAAAATAAGTCGCTTTGGACTTGCTCATTTCTGCACTAATCTCCCCTCAGTAAAGTCCTTTTTCTACGTTTTCTATCTCCCTACCACTGAGACTGTACTTAGGCCGAACTTAGTTTAACAGGTATTTCACACTTACACATATTAACTACATATATTGTAGATACAAATGTGAAAAAAACCAGCTTTTTTTCTATTCCCCACAGCACTTCCATGGTGTTGTTATCAAGAATCTGTTCTTGCGATAATCTCGGGGATGTAATCCCGGCAGAGTGATAGACTAGTGTGCCATCGACATAAACCATTATTGACAGGACATGGCTTGATCGGAAAGCAATCGGAAAGCATGCAGAGTCAAATGCTGACGTACAAAAGAAAGTGGATATTACATTCAGTATCCCGCAGTGTAACAAGGCCACTAAGTAGTAAGCGAAATGTAATCAACACCGGTGGACCTTGTCATTAGTATCACGTTTGTCCTTCGTTGACACTTCACACATTTAACAACGCTTGGTATTTGTTGGTTGGGGGTGTTGTGTTTGTTGTTTTGTTGGTACAGGTGTTGTTTGGTTTTGGTTTGTTTTAAGTTGGTTTGTTTTTTGGTGTTTGGTTTGGTTCGGTTTGTAACGAGTTTTTGTTTTGTTTATAAATTTTGTTTGTTTCTTGAAGGTTTTTTTTGTTCGAGTATTTAAGAATCCCCATGGAAACAGAAATTATTGTTCCAGAGTGAATGAGTGCTACAGTTCTATGTCTCTACACATGCATTGTTCATTCTCACAGATTGCCGATCAGGAAATCGTTAACTTTTCCCATGAGAAGAAATGGTTCAAGGATGCTACGGTGGTGTAGCCTAAAGGATACGGCCTAACTCGTCACGTCGATGGTAGGGGTTTGCTTTCCCAAGGTAGTGCTATGTGCGAAGTCCATTGCTGAAGTCACGCAATTTTACTGCTAGAATGTTGCTGAATGCGACGTAAAAGAAAATTCAGTCAGTCGAATTAGTGTTCAATGCGGTTCGAGTGAGTGAGTGAGTGAGTTTAGTTTTACGCCGCACTCAGCATATTCCAGCTATATGGCGGCGGTCTTTAACCAGACAATCCCGTGATGAACAGCATGAGCATCGATCTGCGCAATTGGGAACCGATGACATGTCAACCAAGTCAGCGAGCCTGACCACCAGATCACGTTAGTCGCCTCTTACGACAAGCATAGTCGCCTTTTGTGGCAAGCATGGGTTGCTGAAGACCTTTTCTACCCCGGATCTTCACGGGTCCAATGCGGTTCGAATTCAATAGAGCCACTTAGAATTATTCAGTACCCCACCATTTCCCAAGGACAGAGAAGTCTCATTTTTTCATGCATCTTCACTTGTTCTAAGCTGGGTTATTTGGAAACAAATTAATATTATTTCGTTTTCTGTGTTCAAGAAGATTTACGTTACTTACCATAGATATAGGAGTATGTTTCCACACCAATGCACACAGCTCTACCTTGCAGCAAGGCGCTCAGAGGATTAGGATCCGAAATGGCAGGGCGGCATTTGAGGCCCTGGGCACAACGCCCCACCGTCACGCCACACGACTGTCCCGCCCGCCGGGCACACACAGGACAGCAGCCACAGATCCCAGGCTCCAGGACAAGTTCGCAGGGTTGCATTGGGAGGGAGCAAAGGTTAGTGTCACACGGAGGGCACTGAAACATGTGTTGCATCGTTTTGCGGTCCAGCACCACGGCATCCGACATCGACCACGGCGCTACCAAAACCGCCAAGCTCAGAACCACATACCGCAGAGGGGACATCGTTGTGAACGAAGACGACACCCGCACCATTGGTGCCGCTACGTATCAAAGACGGTATACAGGCGTGTGTCAAAATGTGAAGTGCACACGAGTCCCGAAGTTTGACTTCAAATCATCACACTGTAAGCTATAGCCACGTTCTACAGTTGTGTAGGCACTTGTTGAGTGATCAACCTGTGCTGTGACGGCCATTATATTTGGTTGGCTCATATCGGCGACAACGTAAGTGGCTCTGAGCCATGTGTCAATCAGCACGGCCCCGCCCCAGCATCTCGCTCCTCGCTCACACTCTCTACCTTCAATTCCCTACCCCCGCTTTCCATATTTGAGGCGCGTGGGTGAGCGCTCTTAACGTGGGCAGGATTAAGATCAGTAGTTGGCGTCAATAATGACACTAGTACTGTTACTACAAAGCATACGGTTGAATCAAGCATTGCATTGAACCTTGATCGTGGGATGCAGCTGCTTGTTTAAACATGCTTGTTTTGGGCTTGTTTTTGTTATTTGTGTGGGGTTTTGGGGGGTTTTCTTGGGGGGTGCTGTTTTGTTTGCTTCCGTTTTGTTTTTGTTTGTTTTATTTGTTTTCTTTTTGTTTTTGTTTGTTGGGTTGTTGTTGTGTTCGCTCGTCACGCCGAAGATCCGGGTTCGATTCCTCACATAGGTAATGTGTGAAACCCATTTCTTGTGTCCCCCGCCATGATGTTGCTGGAATATTGCTAAAAGCGGCGTAAAAACATACTCACTCACTCTTGGGTTATCGCAGTATATCAACTACGTAATAGCGTGTCAGCCTGGCTTGACTGTTTGCTTTTATTTCATGGGTTTCGATGTCACGTTCACTTAACCTATTCCATCCAGTTCCACGTGTGTTAGTCCTATGTGTTAGAAAATAACACGGTGTCTCAGAGCATGGGAATGACTCCCTTGAGCAACGATCACGGTGTCTTAGAGCATGGTAATGGCTCCCTTGAGCAACGAACACGGTGTCTCAGAGCATGGGAATGGTTCCCTTGAGTAACGAACACGGTGTCTCAGAGCATGGGAATGGTTCCCTTGAGCAACGAACACGGTGTCTCAGAGCATGGGAATGGCTCCCTTGAGCAACGAACACGTTGTCTCAGAGCATGGGAATGGCTCCCTTGAGCAACGTGAGGCTCCCCATGGATATGGCCTCAACCTAGGAGCCTATTTCGCTGAATAACTGAAATACCTGTCTGAACTGAACTGAACTGAACTTGCATCACTGTCATTACTGTGATTACTTTCATACCGTCGTCTATGACATTCGAACAACGTATACATTATACATTTGTAATAAAGGTACAAAAAACGATGGCGTTCAGAGTACACTCAGTATTGCAGCAAAACAAGTCCATACAATTATAAAATACAGGTTAACATGTCATCGAAATGTTTGCATAAAAATCTTACTAAAGGCACTTAATTTTTAAACAATCAAATCTTTTTAGTGGGTAGTATTAAGACGAAATTAGGAAAATTGGGATTTTTACGGTAATATAACGGTATACCAATATTTCTCGGATCTGTTTCTTAAACCAATGACAGATAAAAACATATAATGAAACTCGTCACCGATATCTCGTGTGTCAGATAATGGGCGTAATCGATTTGCTAATGGTGCTTTGTTCTATCTACCTTTTTTGGAAATCGATGATTTGAAGTTCGATAATGGCATATTGTATTCTGTATCTATTATTCACGCATCCGTCCTTGCAACACTGACTTAGTGGGTATTCTATAGCTCTATATTTCATGAAGAAAGAGTTAAATTAAAACGGAGGATACCATACAATACGGTTATTGTCCTACCAGTACGAGACATATGCCCCCAGTTAACTAGCACATATTATTATTACGATTTTAAAATAAAAACACATGAGATTAGACACTGGTGAAGAGGAACGTGTTATAAGTTCGTACGTGTAAGTGACGTCTGTGTATATTTAAAGCGAATGTGAGAAGTCTGTTAATTATCCTTTGCAATGTTTATTGCGCCCGGGCAGCGTCATTCGATTTACGGTGTGGAAAATACGAGTATGTTTTATACATTCTAACAACGTCTGCAACCCAGGGCACATGCACATTGTCTTTAAACTGTGTCAGGGACCCGAGATAAGGTGGGAGTGGGTGTGTGTGTGGATGTGTGGGTGTGCGCGTGCGTGCGTGCGTGCGTGCGTGCGTGTGTGTGTGTTTGTGTGAACATTTAACGTCACAGGTCCACCCCTGTGCCCACTCTGTGTGTGAAGACGGGGTCTCGCAATTGTTTACTTGGGTTTTTTTTCAATCAAATATACTCTCTCAAAAAAGAAACGCATATCAGAATTTTAACTACAATTTACTCTTTATTTTACACATAGTATGAAAATAAATAGCAAATAGAATTCAAAGATATTGCACATAGGAAATGTCACAGTATCACTGTTTGATGAGGGCTCGAGAAAGGTCAGTTAGTGGAACACATATAGACGTCGTGAGGCACTGAAGTCAGTACCTCATGTGGCCACCATTGTCTCGGCATGGAATGAATTAGTCTCTGGATCTGATGTTGCTGCATCGAAGTCCATTCTGCCTGTAGTGTATGTGTGAGTTGCTGAAGAGTCTCGTCCTGTGGGTTATGCTGTCGCACCCGTCTATCTACGGCATCCCAAAATATACTCTTAAAAAACAAAAACTTGACAAATTTGAAATTTAGGAAAATATTTGACACAAACCAATCCATGCTAAATCCCAGCATGTGGGGGAATGGCTGCCGACGACAAAACATTTGAAATAAACAAAAACGTAACGTTACACTCACGTCTGTAGTGAATCGCTAAAACGCACCTGAAATGAAATGCACGAGCATCATGGAATTCTGTATCACCCTGAGCTGAAGCCTATGACTGTAGGCTTTAAAAAGCCACATCAATGGTACTCCACATGCATTGCTTTAAGCAACAAACTTTCGCCATACCACCTTTTGTACCAACTCCTGTCAGACTCCAGTAATCATGGGTAAGACTCCCTGATTCGTCCCTAAACGAGTCATGTCAGACTCCAGTAATCATGGGTAAGACTCCCTGATTCGTCCCTAAACGAGTCATGTCAGACTCCAGTGATCATGGGTAAGACTCCCTGATTCGTCCCTAAACGAGTCATGTCAGACTCCAGTGATCATGGGTAAGACTCCCTGATTCGTCCCTAAACGAGTCATGTCAGACTCCAGTGATCATGGGTAAGACTCCCTGATTCGTCCCTAAACGAGTCATGTCAGACTCCAGTGATCATGGGTAAGACTCCCTGATTCGTCCCTAAACGAGTCATGTCAGACTCCAGTGATCATGGGTAAGACTCCGTTTCGTCCCTATTACGAGTCATGTCAGACTCCAGCAATCATGGCTAAGACTCCCTGATTCGTCCCTATAACGAGTCATGTCAGACTCCAGTAATCATGGATAAGACTCCGTTTCGTCCCTATTACGAGTCATGTCAGACTCCAGTGATCATGGGTAAGACTCCCTGAATCGTCCCTGTAACGATGTTTCGAGTAGCCGTGCTCGTGTGTCTAAGTCAATACCACCTAGGTTTTTTCCCACATGATATGCGACCACATAAAGAAATTCTGTTGAAAGCGGTGTAAAACAAAACCCGCTAACTCACTCTTTTCTGTTTTTGAAATACATGTACTGTATAGACAGAGATTTACACAAAGCCTTCTACACAGATTAGAAGCAGATTACTCCCGATGCAATTCGACACCATTGTTCCCGAGTGACAACTATATATTATTTATATGACGATATTTTTTTTTTCATTCGGCTATCATCATTATGTGATTAAGATTTTTTTCAGTGTGTGTATTAACTTTCATATTTTAGCATCGTATTCTACAGGAGTTGTCTTTGTTTTGACATTTGTATACTCATGCCAATAATGGCTGTCACCCCCTTCAATGTGTTTAATTGGAGAGGGGTGTGGTGCGGGGTGTGAGGTGTGTGGGGGTTGGGGTGGGGAGGGGATGACAACCATAATTGGCATGAGTATATTTTCATGAATGTTGGTTCTAAATGAATTAGTAGACTATCATAGAATACAAATTATGCTTTTGATGCCGATAAATGCCAAACGTATCATTTGTCACTTAGAATGTAATGTTTATACCCGATGCCCGTGCCCAGGTGTATAAAACAATGTAGGCCACGCATAACGTTTAGCCGACGTTGCATTTTCTCCCAGAACCCAAAGAGGAGAAGGGAATCAAACACTTGGTGTGTTTTTACAAACAATCAAACCCCAGTTTTACTGAAAGGAATTCCATGCTCCCTTGACTCCATGCTCCTGACCACTCCAAAACAGATATCAAACAAAAGCAAGCACACTCCGATAAATGTTCGATTCAACGAATCTTTAAATCAGAGTAATGTCCCTTTGAACATTATAGCCGAAGCTCCTCACAGCGACAGCCTATTGCAACTACCAGTTCCACAACGTGTGTCTTGTGTTCGTCGAAATGCACGGAGGTGAACTGGCAACTGTTTAACTGTTTAGTATATTTACATTCAAGGGTTGTTTTTGAATTGGGAATTTCATGTCATTTCAACCAGCATGTAAATGATCTAGAGATCTAGAGACTGCATGGAAAAAGATCTATGTTCATCTTCGATAGTAATATATTCTGTTTTAACAAATAAATTAGACACGTCACAATGTATTTCTGGAGACCCAAAAGTCCAAAAACGTTGTGGCCAGTTTCTGACAAAAGATTTGACAAAATTCAACTTGCAGTTATCATGAATATATGCAAAGGATGAAAAAATGTTTTAAAAAATTAGACTACCTCGCCCATACGCCGGCCCATGGGCAAGAATGTTTACTTTTGCTCAAAATATATGTTTTTCATGTTTGGTGGTTGTAAATGAATGAAAGTATGTTCATTACTATCATGACACAGAATTTAAATCATTTTGACTTAATTCGACTAATTTAGAGCGTTAATTAAAACATCTCGCCCATATGCGAAAACGTTTATCCCATATGCATTTACTTTTGCTCAAAATACACGACTGGATACATTTAATAATATCAAGTCAAATGTCAATAAAACAAAATCATTCCGATGGACATTATTCTCATAAATGTCACA